GGGAAAAGCTGTTTGAGTTGATTGATAGCATTGTGGAGGAGATTGGGGAAGAACATGTAGTTCAACTTGTAACAGATAATGGGAGCAATTATGTTGCAGCTGGTAAATATAGTTATTCTATTGTATTTGTTATTTATTTAACTTTAAATTTAATTTATTAATGCATTTTGTTTTATTTCTTTTAAGTAAATTATTGGAAGAGAAGAGAAAGCACATATTTTGGACTCCATGTGCAGCGCATTGTATTGACCTTATACTAGAGGACATTGGAAAGATTTCAAAGGTTAAGAAGACAATACAAAGAGCAATGAGTCTTGTTGGGTTCATCTACAACCATTCAAGCACCTTAAACTTAATGAGGCGATTCACTAACAAAACGGAGTTGGTTCGATATGGAGTGACAAGGTTTGCTACGAATTTTCTTTCATTGCAAAGTGTGTACAAGCAAAAGGCCAACCTTCAAAAGATGTTTACATCTGATGAATGGACAAGTAGTAAGTTGGCCAGAGATGCCAAAGGAGTAAAGGCAGCAAGTACAGTAATGGCTGCTTCATTTTGGAATAATGTGCTATACACCCTAAGGGTTATGGGTCCTCTTGTGACTGTTTTGCGGCTTGTTGATAGTGAAAGTAAGCCGGCAATGCCTTATATTTATGAGGCAATGATCAAAGCTAAGGATGCCATTAAGAGATTGCAAAATGATGATGAAAGCAAGTACAAGGAAATCTTTGAAATTATTGACAATAGATGGAAATGCCAACTTTATAGACCCTTGCATGCAGCGGCTCATTATTTAAATCTTGCAGTCTTTTATAGCACTCCAAATATGGATTTGGATTTGAGACTAACTAGTGGATTGATGGATTGCATTAAGAAGATGGAGCCTGATGTTAATTTGTAACTCAAAATATATGATGAAGTGGCAATTTATAATAGAGCTCAAGGTTGCTTTGGTGATGACTTAGCAATTAAATCAAGGGATTCGAAATCAGTTGGTAAGATCTCTTGTATGATGTTATTATATTTTTCTTGAATAACTTTGTAATATCCCAAAAATTTGGGGATATTTTAGCATTAAATAAGGGACTTATTTGAGGGAAAATATTATTGAGGGGCTTAATAGTTAAATTTTTAAAAGTTGAGGGACTTAAAAGAAAGAAAATTAGGATAAGGATCAAGGCTGATATTTCTCTCCTCAGCCACGTGTTTTGCTCATCCTCATCTTCTTCTTCTCCCCGATGCTCTGCCCCCCGACCCTCTGCACCCGAGAAGCGCCCCCAACTACCGTTACCCATTTTCGGCCGGAAATCCGGCAAAGCTTGGGGGTTTTCTCCTTCTTTTCTTGTTCTTGAACCTAGAAATATCCCCCTCACTTCTGCAGATTTTCGGATCTGCTCTGCTCTGCTCTGTCCTTCTGCGAGCAGCTTTTGCCGGTGGAGTGCTTCCCGGTTTTCTGGTAAGGGAATGACTAAGAATCATCCCTTTAGCCTTAATTCAAGTTGGGTTACTCTAATTGTGTTGTGGGTTCTTGAATTTTGAGGTTTGCCGTGAGTTCCTCCATTCCTCTCCCCGTCGGCTTCTTTCCCAGCCGGACCCGGTGCTGCTCGCCGGAGTTTCCTGATATGATGGACAGCCTTTTTTTATGTCTAATTATCAATTAAGTATTGTCCATTTAGTTGCTTGTGTTGTCCGAGATTGTGCTAGAATTATGGGATGATTTTGGGTAGCATAAAACACGTTTTAAGCTTGGTTGAGGTAGAAATTTCTTGATTTAGTTGCTGTGTTGTTTATAGGGAGAAAATCCCGTGAATTAGCTAGTGTTTGGCCAATTTTGGAAGTGCAGTCACTGTTCACGCACTGTTCACGCACTGTTCACGCACTGTTCACATAGCACTGTTCACACACCGAGGGTCAACGATTAACGGGGATTTAAATGATTAGTTTGTGATATAAGAATGAATGTGGAGATGTCCAGTTATGTGGAGATTGATAGAAATAGCATTGGGATTAGGAGTGATTTTAATGATGATTTCAGTTTAAATTTGTGATAGTCCGGTATTAATTCTGAGGTGTTTTGATTAGGTTCCTGATCGTTCTGTCAGTTAGCATTGAGATTGAGTGCTCGGTTTTGTGCGAGTGAGGTAAGTAAATGATGGTGAAGCCCTTTGATTTTAAAGCATGTTTTAAATTGTTTTTGAGATAGTGGCAAGCTTTAAATTGATTTTATCGGCATTTGAGTGTGATTAAACTGGAATGCAAATTGTGATGGGTTTTATGGGAAATTTCCTTGTTTTTCTGGAATTGAGCATGATTGGAATGAAAATGAGGATTTTATTGATTTTCTGGAATTGAGCATGATTGAAATGAAATGAGAGTTTCATTGTTTTTCGGGAGTTGAGCATGCCTATTTAGAAATTGACCGAACTGTTTTGATGAACTGAGAGTTTGCAAATTCTGAGTTTTTTGTTAAATCCATGGTCACATGGAAATTTTCCGGTTTGTTCTGAAATTCGGGATTGATTGTGAAATTTGGGTTTTTCTGTAAATCCTGCATGGTTTTGTCTCGGATATAGTCATGATTACTGACGCCCGCTAGTGGGAGCTGTAAACGCTAGCACATGTCGACATGTATTTCTGTAGAACCAGTTCACCCTGCCTATGGGGTTAAACACTGGCACTATTACTGACGCCTGCTAGTGGGAGTTGTAAACACTGGCACTATTACTGACGCCTGCCAGTGGGAGTTGTAAACACTAGCACTATTACTGACGCCTACCAATGGGAGTTTGTAAACACTGGTACCATTACTGACGCCTGCCAGTGGGAGTTTGTAAACACTGGCCATGACTTATAGATGAGACTACTGAACTGAGTTTTCTTCTGCATGTAACAGTTTGTCATGAAACGTTTTGTTATTGAACTGAATCCGATTTCCGCATTAATGGTTTATCATTAAAAGTCTGTTACGCTTACATGGTTTATCTGGCATGCTTCAAAGTTTTACCCAAGGGCTATCCATATTTACTTACTGAGTTTATCTCATAGTTTTACTTGTCCACCATTTCAGGAAGCGAAACCGAGGACGGGGAAACCAAGGGGAGTGACGAGTTAAAAGGCTAGCCATTTCGAGATTGACATAGATTTTAAAAATAAATCCTGCTCTTACAAGTTAGAGTGTATTTGGAGATTTTATGATATCAGAGCAGATTGTAAAATTTTATCTTGAGATTTTGTGGTATCGGATTGTGATTTGAATAAGTTCCGAGCCTTGTGCACTTGTGGGACCCGTCTCACAAGTGCACGGCGTCTGCCGCGTCCCCAGATTTGGGTTCTGGGGCGTGACAAACTTTATGCTTTCTATTTCTATTTTTTCTTCTTTTTTTTTTTCATTTGCTAAAATTATTATTACTTTATCCTTTGTAGTTGCCTTCCTTTGTCACTTTCTTAACAATTAATTATAATAATTTTAAATTGACTAATCAAATAAGGTTTTGCATTTTTATAGCTGAATAGTGGACTTTGTTCGGGTATTCGGCACCAAATTTACAAAAGTTGGCTATCAAAATCTTAAGTTTAACATGTAGTGCGTCTGGATGTGAGCGTAATTAGAGTGTATTTGAACAAGTAAGTTTTTATTTTTATTTTCTATTAATTGAATGAATGAATTAAAAAGTAAATTTTTTTAACAAACATATTTTCTAAAATAAAGAGAATGTAAATTCTGCTTTTTTTTTTCTTTTTTTTGCTATTTCAGATTCATTCTAAGAAGACAAACCGACTTGACCACCAAAAAATGCATGATTTGGTTTTTGTAAAGTACAACCAAGCTCTTAAAGCTCATTATGATATGTGAGACGAGATTGATCCTATTGTTCTAAATGAGATTGATTTCGATAATGAGTGGTTGGTTGGAGAAAGTGGTGAAGTTGAAGATGCTCATAATGATTTGGTTTTTGAAAATGAGAATCTGACTTGGGGAGATGTGGAGAGAGCATCAGGGGCAAGAGAAATTAGAACTTATACTAGGGGACAAGCAAAAAGAAATACCACTGCAGCCTTCACCTCTCAAATTCCAGCACTAACTTTTAGAACTCCAGCCACAACCCCTAGTGTTGATGCAATTTATGCTACTAGAATTAGTGAAGAAGCTCATAGTTTATTAGATCTTGAAAAGTCAGAGGAGGAAGAAGAGGAGTTTGAGCCTGGTGGAACAAGTCAGAAAAACAAGGATGATGATGATTTGGTGGCTGAGCAAGAAGAATTAGAAGCAGAAGAGAGTGATGAAGATTATTAAACTCTTGAATGATTTTTTGTTTTAAAGTTTTATTATTTCACTTTTTTTTGAATTGATCTTGTCTAATTTTTGTACTCTTTAAGTATTTTATTGTCTTGTTTGACTATTATAATCTATGATTTTTATTTGTTAAAACTTGATAATATTGTTTTTTATGATTTTTGGTAATTTTTATAAACTCTTAGGTCAATTTATGCTTCTTATTACTTAGATTTGTCTCTTATTTTAACTATTAGATTTATATTTTAATTTTTTTATTAAATACCCGCTATTTGTCAATAGCGGCCGCTACGCTACCCGCTACGCTATCATAGCGGATTTTGGCCTTTCCGCTATATGCCGTTATCCGTTATTGATAACACTGGTATAAACAAATACACAAAAATTTGCTTTTTATCTTACCATTCTCATTGAACAATAATGAAACCTCATTCTCATATTTTGATAAGTGAATGAGGTTCGAACAATAACAAGTAACCCACAATCATATCTATACTCTCCAAATTTGATTGAATCTAAACTTTATGAAGAAGAACTAGCCTCCATATATCATGCTAGGGATTATGTTTCGTGAAGAGAGAAGAAAAAGGATTCTAGGGTTTCACAAGTCATGGATGGGGAAGAGAGAGAGAGAGAGAGAGAGAGTTTGATGTGGTTAGGGAATTGAAACTAAAATAAAAGCCAATATAAATTCTCATGTGGGCCCCACTAAAAGCAGAAGATGAAAAGCGACAATCTAATGTGTAAAAAACATGCCACAATAGCAAAATTTTCTTCGTTAGATTTAACATGTCCTTAACATTCAAAAAATCAAGTGATTTTGTGGCAAGATAATGGGCCACGTGGAGATTCTGTTAACAAAAAGATCATTTTGGTATCGAAAATGAAAATTCAAGGATAATTTTGATACTTTGTGAAGTTAAGGGACAATTTTGGTGCCAAAGTGGAAAGTTGAGGGACCCAAATGGTATTTTAACCAACTAGAAAGTATGGTTATGATGAGGCCTTGTTATTCAATTTCTTTTATGAACAAATACCCTAAAAGAATTAGAAAACTTAATCCATTAGTTTCACATTCAAATTTTTTGATGAAATAATAAACCTTGTTGTAGGTATTAAAAGACCATTAGGCCTAAGTAATTTGGAAGTGCTTCATATGTTCCATAACTCTTTCACTAACATAACATTACCTTCCCTAAGAGGACTTTCATCTCTCAAGAGTCTTGATTTGAGTTGGAACAAATTAAAAGGAATAATAAATAGTAAAGGTAGTTCAATTACTTCACTTGTTTTCTATTTTCATCTATTATTGAATATCCTTTTAATTAAATGCTACTTTTTTTCCTCATTTTTATTTGATTGACTATATTTTGTCCCCACCAGAATTAGTTGCTCTAAACAATTTGAAAGAGTTGGATTTAAGCAGTAATGAAATGGAAAGTTTTGTGGCTCCCAAAGGTACACATGATCAAACTAGAAAGTTTGATTATAATGAGGCCATTTTGTTCCTTTCATCAATAAATCCCTAAAAGAATTAGAGCACTTAACCCATTGGTTTCTATTATACCTAAAATTGAGTTCTATGGACATGTGGAAATATCTTAGGAAGACTTCTACCAACAATAGGATAAACCCAATTTTATTAGAATTAGAATACCCAAACACCGATCAAATACAGTTGTTTTCCTAGAATAACTTTATGTAAACATCCTATAAATACCTCAAAGATCAACCTAAGGAGAGGGATTATTTTCTCCACTTTCTCTCCATTGTAAACTCTCTCTACTCTTTATGAATAAAGTTCTTGGTTCCACATCATCTTTTCTATTTTTTAGTGTTAACAGTTTCATACTCAAAATTTTTTATTGAACTATAATTTACTTATACATCAATAAATTCTATGAGTAACTTTGAAAGCCACAAAACTTTCCACATTGTTGTAGCTTAAATCTAGTTCCTTCAACTCGTTTAAACCAACAAATTCTAGTAGTCATAGAGACAAAATGAAATCAGTTAAATTATAATGAGAGAAAAGAAAAAGGATTTCATTAGAAGGATACACAGTGATTGATGAAAACAAAAAGAAGTGAAACAATTGATCTACCTTTAATATTTAGTATTTCTTTTAATTTGTTTGTACTCAAATCAAGACTCCTGAGAGATGAAAACCCTCTTAAGGAAGATAAAATTGTGCTATTGGAAGAATGATAGCCCAAATTAACCACTTCCAAATTACTTAGTTCTAGTGGTCTTTTAACACCAGCATACAGAGTTTATGAGTAATAAGAATTATTTGTGCATTTACAAGTAATTAATGAGTAGCTCCAAGTCCCTCACGAAACATAATGATGTTAAAATTGGATATCAT